CCGAGTTTCATACTTCCTAACAGTGGCAGAAGAGGCACAATGTCTGCTTTTCAATAATTTCTGCTCTTGGTTATTGTTTCGAAAGAACTCGTAACACGGCATTATTTAGGGCGGTACTTTACTTCAGCAATGACCAATGTCCAGTTCTGCTACATCCTTCTCGCAGGTTCCCAACTTCTTCAAGTTACTACGGTAAGTCACCGTGTTTTTTTTTTTAATCAATGAAATTCATTTTTCAACGATTTCAGTGTTGGTTAGAAATTTTTGGAAGATATCCCAACCTTCATATCCCTCATCTTCAATTACAGCTCTTACCATGCAAAAAAAAAAAAAAATTGAAGAATTCCTGCGTAGGGCAGGGACGGTCTGTGGTGAGGAAAAAATTAGAACTGAGCTACAGCAATAGTTATTTTGTGTTTGCTACAAAATATTCTTAAGGGAATCGCCAAAAAGGCACCGACTCTTGGGGAAGAACCCTCAAAATGGAGCCAAATTGATGTACTAACACCGTTCAAAATAAAGGTGGGTGAAATTTTTCTCATTTCCTCGTGTTTTTTTTTTTTTTTTTATTATTGCTCTTAGCTGCTGCCGCAGAATCCGCTAGTGTTGGGGTCTTATCAGGTTCTGGTGGTGAACATACATCGATCAGCTGGTGTGGTTACTAACTGTGGGCATGCAGTTCAGAATCAAAGGACCTGGCATAGCTGCGCTCGGCGTATGGGAGCATCCTAGTAATATTACTAACAAGAGATACTCGCACTAATTATCCGAAAAATCTTACAGTACTTGGTTGTGGGTAAACGGCTGGCAACGTAGGATCGATAGATGGATGGGTGCTTATTGGAGGTGTACGGCAGTTGATCAACCGATTTTTTTTTTTTTTTAATTTAGCACTTACCCAGTGAGATTTTCAAAAAAATCTGAAAATCAGTTTTGTGGATTTTATTTGTGGACAAAAAATATTACGCAAGCCCACTGTTGCTACTTTCATATCACAATGTTGTATCTGGAGACTCAAAAATTTGGAAGCTCCTACAATCGGCTTATCAGCCATGATCTGCAAGTATGTAACAGTACTGATAAATGGGAAAGTTTTTATACAAATACAAGGATTTTGTAGGAGATAGCAGGAAACAATACTGGAATTTCCACGATTTCGCAGCAAGTTGACCAGTTTCTGGATTCTGATGAACGACAGTGGAAACAGGTTGGAGTTTCTTCCTCAATTTTCCTAACTCTTTTTTTCTGAAATTTTTGAAAGTTTGATTGTTTATTTGCAAAACTTCACTTTTGCA